ATTCCTAGGCATTTTCTAAGACTTGTGGCAACTGTAAAAGGGATTTGTTGCTCTATTTTATTCTCTAAGTGAGATATGTAGGAAGACTAGATTTCTGCAAGTTGATTTTGTAAATGTCACTTTATTATACTCCTATGAGTTCTCATAAAAAGATTTTTTTCTCTTGGATTTTTCATGGAGACATTTCAAATCATCTGCAAATACTGACAGCGTTGTCTCTTCCTATAGTAGAATTGTTCATTAATTTGCTAGGAGCACCAGCTAAAATACTGAAAAACAGCAAGCACAGCACATATCCTTGCTTCATTTGTCTTTAATGAGAATATTTCTAATGTTGCACTATAAAATACTGTTTGCTGCAGATTCTTAGCAGATGCCATTTTCACCAAATAGAGAAATTTCCTCTGTATCTATAATTTGCTAATAGTTTGTTTTTTTAAAAAAATCTGGATTGAGTAGTGCTTTTCATTAAATACCATTAATAGGATTATATAGTTTTAACAATTACGTACTTCCTTAATGCAGGGAATAATAGCAGCAAATTTCCTGAGGCTGAACCACGCTTGCCTTTTTGGCATAAGTCATAATAGTATTTAAAAATACATTGTTGGATTTGATTTGCTAATATTTATTTAGAATTTCTAAACTGGGAATAAATGACCTATAGGCTTTTGTTTAGTGCTCTTCTCTTTGGTATTAAGATAATGCCAGACTTGTAGAAGCAGCTGAAAATTTTTTCATATTTTCTATGGCTCTGGAACTATGTAAATAACTAGCTCACTTTTTAAGGCCACACCTTTCAACTGAATAATTAATTTAAAATGCTTAAATCACCATAATTTAAATTTTTTCTTAATGGGCACTCAGTGTGACAAAGAATATTAAACTTTAGTCAACACTACCAAATTCCATACTATTCAGCCATATAAAAGAATGAAATTCTGCCATTTGCAACAATATGGATGAGCTTGGAGAAAATTGTTATGTGAAACAAGCCAGGAACATAAAGAGAAATACCACATGTTCGCACTCATATGTGGAAGCTAAAAAACTTGATTTTATAGAAGTAGAGAGTAGAATAGTGGTCACTAGAGGCTGGTAAGTGGAGGGGCAAAGGGGAGGGGGAGAGGATGGTCAATGGATACAAAGGTGTAGAGAGACAGGACGAATAAGATCTAGTGTTCTACAGCAATACACGGAGACGACAGCTAACAACAAAGTACT